CACCCCCGCTCCCCCACCACCTGCACAGCCCTGGGGGAGGCTGAGGGACACGCTTACCTTTTCACCCTTTTCTCCGTGGACAAAAGGCCCTCTGCCCTAGGGACACAGAGCAGAAAACAAGGGGTCACCACGCTTGACAGCATTGCCTGAGGTAGAGAACGGCCAGACACCGTCTCTCAGCGCTGCACGGAGACAAGAACGAGTGTTTGCTGAGTGCGGGCGGAGCATCTCCCTGGGCTTCTGCAGCGACTGTGTGCTGGGCTGCTGTATTTCCTGCCCACGTCCTCTGTCATCTTCAGGGAGCTGCACCTCACACACTGCACGGCTCGCCTCTACAGAGCGCGGGGCGGGGGGCGCCAGCGCGCTCAGAGCGGCGTGGCCGTGGCCACCACCGCCTTGAGGACCTTCCACCACCTTCCCAAGATGAGTTACGTTCCCCTCCCTCCGCACGAGCCCTCCCCGCCTCCATGATCTGCTCTAGGCGAGCACTGGTCCATTTTCCATTGAGTAGCCCATCCCGGACACTCTGCGTGCACACGTCCAAACAATACGGCCTCGGAGCGCCTCCGAGGCTCCTCCCGCTGCCCGTGACCCACGCTTCACTCCGTCGCACAGCAGCCCCGCTGCACGGATGCCACGCGTGGTGGTCACTCACTCCCCAGGAGCTATTCGGGCTGTGTCCACTTTCTGACTGTGATCACATACGCCATGAGCATCTTTGTATAAGGCTTTTGGGCAAACATGCCTTCTTTCGGGTCTGTACCGAGGAGCGGAACTGCCGAGTCCTGGGGCAATCCTAGAAACCGCAGGACTGTGTCCAAAGCAGCTGTAGCGTTTCGCGCCAGCAGCCTCAGAGGGTCCCCCTTTCCTCAAGATCCTGGTCGTCCCATCCACCATCAGCGGCTGACTGCAGCCCCCACACGGTGAGCGTCTGCTCCTTGGACTCTGCCAGGCTTCGCTCTGCATATTTCAAAGCTCTGCTGTAAGGAGCGTGTATGTTTATAATTGTTGCCTTTAAAGAACTGGCCCTTTAATTACCACTATAAAATGCCTCACTTTCTTTCTATTAATTTTGATTATCTTAAGACCTATTTTGTCGGATAAAGGATGATTTCAGTCACTTCATTTCAGTCACTGATTTTCAAATGTACATTCTCCATCCTGCGCCTCTCCGTGTGTCGTTAACTCTAAACTATGTCTTCCATAAACAGGACTCCATCCCGCCCAGTCCGAAACCTCTGATTTTAATGAATGTGCTTAAAAATTCACACGTCATCTTCATATTTACATATTTATACATGCTGTTTTGTTTTCTACATATTGCTCTGTCTTCTGTGTGTGTGCCTTTATTTCTCCTTCACTGACCTTTTTTTTTTTTTTTTTTGTATTACGCAAGTTCTTGCTGGTCCAATATTTCCATCTCTTCGTGATCTTCTCGCTATACATTTGGAATTACTAGACCTCGCTGGGGCTAACCACACGTACCTGAGCACCACAGGCTCCACGTGCAGTTCACACCAAAGCGCAGATGAGATTAGACGCGTCCGGCCTGTGCTGCTGCTGCTCTACGCACGACCTAAGTACCATTGACCACCCAGCTGTAGTGTGACATTTCTTTGAGCTGGCAGCCATCACGCCCCGACCTCATTGTTTCTGGTGACAGGTCGGCTGTTGACCTGACTGGCTTCCCTCGACCAGGTGAGTCATCGTCCCGCGCCGCTTCCCAAGCTCCCGCCTCGCCTTTCACCCCCCACTGCGACGTCTCTGAGGCCGAGTCTTTGTGCCTCTCTTGACTGAAGTTCACTCAAATGCATTGTGCAGACCGTGGCTCTTCACCAAATTTGGGATCTCTTAACCAATCTTTCTTTGAACTGGATTCTACTCCTTTTTTCCCTCTCCTTCTGGAATCTCCATTACCTGCCTGTGGGTGCATTTTATGGGCCCCCGCATTTCTCTGAGGTTCTGCTCAGTTTCCTTCTGGTTTGTCCTGTTTTCCAGATTGCATCATCTCCACTGATCTGTTTTCAAGAACGCGGCCTCCTCCTCGGCCGTCTACTGTCGAGCGGCGCTCGGGACTTTTTTCACTTACTACAATTTTAAACTCTAGATTTGTTTATTTGGTTCTTGATCACAATATCGATTTCTAGTTTGTCTTTGATTAAAGATGATCCAAATTCTTCCCATCTTTAAGAGCAACCTCCTTTCGCCCTTTGAACGTGATCACAGGGGCTACCTCAAGGCTTGGCTGGCGCTGCCTGGGCGCTCTCGGGGCGGAGTCGGTGCCTGGTTTTCTTCCTGTGCGAGAAGGCCATGGCTGTTTCTCTGGCTCCCTCCTCAGCGACTTTACGTGAAGGCTGCGTGAGCCTGAAACCACAAGCCTGAGATGTTCCAGAGCCCAGCACACAGTGCTGCTCGTGCGCCAGCTCGCCCTACCTCGTGCTCCTTTGCACAAGCAGACGCTGCTCCAAGGAGCCGGGCTGCGGGCGCGGGGAGGCAGGCGGGCACAGGGCTGGCTGAGCACGCAGGCTCCGTCTCTGCCTACCAGGCCGTGCTCACGGGCCACTCGCCCAAGTCTGACCATTTGTGTCACTCCTGCTAGAGAAGTGACAAGGCCACGATGCCGAGGCCGCTGCTGGGTAACGAGCGAATGCCCGTGAGCCCTGTCAAGATGGCTCCGAGAACGGGCTCTCGGTAGGTGACAGCGCGGGGTACTCGTGAGTCACACTGGCCAGGTCAGTTCTCCTAGGAGAGGTTTTATCTTGTCTCCGAGGTGGCCCCTGAGCCCTGAGAACCCTCAAGAAGAGTTATGATGACAGAAGAGCAGCGCTCACTAACCATCTGCCAGACATCTGTCGACAAAGTCACAGCTATCTTCCTCACTCTGCTGACGCGCAGGGGGGACCGGTCAGAAAGGCACAGACCCCTCGCGGCCAGCAGCTGGCACAGGAGGTGCCAAGGGCAGGCCCTCGGTCCCTCTGACACCACGCTGAGCGGCAGACACCTTACACGGCGCGGAGAGTGAAGCTGTCTCCTCCCAGTCCCGGGAAATAACAGCAACGGGAGCCCTGGCTGCGCTCAGCTGCCCTGACCCTCTCGCGTGTGCTCACGCACTGCATCCCCAGAGCCCAGACGGGTGACTTCATCATCACTGTGCCCCCCAGCATCGACAGATGAGGAAACAAAGGCGGGGGACAGTGGACCCAGGCCGTGCTCCTGGCCACTGGGCTTGGAG